AATCCAGATAGACTCCCAGGGGGCGCTTAGCTTGGGAAACAACCCGATTACGTCTGCTCGGTCGAAGCACATCGACGTGCAGCATCACATAGTGCGTGAGAGGGTGAATAGCGGTGAGGTGCAGTTGGAATACTGCCCTACGGAGTGGATGGTTGCGGATGTACTAACAAAGGCTCTGGGCGAGGTGAAGTTCAAACGTTGCCGAGATGCTATGGGCCTAGTGTGAAGTGTGCAGATTAACTTGGTACTCGTTGGGATACGGCCCGAGGGGGCGTGTTGAGGAAACGGTCCTCTCCCAACTCGTGTGGTTGTCGACCAGGGGATTTGACCCCGGGTCTGCGCCTGACTAATGGGGAAGACTTACCCCAGAACCTTATGGGGCTACCGATGCATATCCGGTAGCTAAGTGATAGACATTAGGGCACCGTCTGGACGGCGCAGTGAGATCGCGGAATGTACGTGCAGTTAGATCGCGGAATGTACGAGTTTTCCGCTAGCGCCGGTATTTAGGGCGGTGACTGCGCCTATTAGTTTATCTCACAACGATCGGTATTCCTACCAGGAATCTCCTCAAGTCCTGCCGAACGCTAACAATACTCTTTACATTACTTGTAACAAGTTTATCGTGCTAAATATCTTCGCCACCGGCAATCCTTCCGGAATAACAATCAGCGTTAGCCGTCACCGTCGCCAATTCTTCAATAGACGTGGCTTGGCGTCCACCGTCTGGTGATGCTCCAATAGCTGCTCAACATTGCGACAACACTAATTCGCCCGGCTTCATCCTCATTATCTCCATGCCTGAAAACACCTGCGCTTCTCCAAGGTCTCGTACTTGCAGTACACTGTTGCAACTAGCCATGCAAAAGAGCGCTTGACCCTGTCGTTTTCCAGTATTTTCAAATTGTACAACCACCGGTACAGTAGCACATGCACATCATGAGGCTGTGCACATGGCTCACAAGTGCCGTTAGTTGCTAATGCAGCAATCACCTCGACCATCACTCTGCGCCACCCATTTGCATTTGCACCTGAAATGGCTTCAGTGAAAGTATTACTCAGCAAAAGTTCAGCAGGGTACGGATAAGTGACAGCCATGTTAATGCGACCCACTATCCTCCTTCCTGCAACACCATGCCACCACTCCGAGGGCTATAATATCTCCTCATATTCCCTGCCCTCTTCTTCTGAACTCCTGCGCTGGCTTGCACCACTAGATGTTCCGGCTTCATCCGGCATTCCTCCACCATCCACAGGTGACAGTGGTGCCTAGCCGACTGTGTTTCCTAAGTCTAACGGAGCTTGGCAGAGGCCCTGACTCAGGTACACCAATACTAGCCGCTTCGGAGTCAGACAATTGATAGTGGTTCTTATCTTGCAGCAAAAAAATACACGGCATCACTGCACTGCCGCCACCGCCTGTCTGTTGAGGCATGCTACCCCACCTGCCACGTGTGGTCGCCAAGACCACCTCCACTCCTTCCCTGCATGTTAGGCTGCGGCTCTCTCTGCAACTCCGAGCTATACGGCCCATCTGTTTGTAGTTGCAGCAAATGATCGCCTGCTGCAATCCATGCTATCCAGCGGGGTCTACCGGATACAGAATGTTCGCGGCACTCACTGCCGCCAGTCGTCTGCATGTGGGCCTGAGATGGCTTCGGCATAAAAGTTAGGCTCTGAATCCCAGCAGATACTGCAGCAATGACTCGGCCTGTAGCACTACAACCAGGTACACTCCGTCACAACTCGCCAGGACGTTTGCATTCCCAAACTGAATACCGAGCCCCCAGCATTTCCACATCAGGGTGTGTATTACCTTACACATTCACACTTCTGGGAGGTCCAGCCCCAGCCGGCGGCCCCTCGCCACACAAATGCGGCGGTCCCTCACTGACGGTATTGTCTTGTGTCCATTCCCCAGCCCTAGGCAGCGACCCCAGGCAAACTAGTGTGCAACCCTCGTCGGCATCGGACCCATCATCGGAATCCCTGGCACTATACCGCCGGCCGACACTAAACTCGTCAAAGCGGACGTTGGAGACCACGGTGATGATGCCGTCCTTGTACATCACACGATGCTGTCCTCCATTCCCATACTCGACCAGGATCTCTTAGACGCTTACTCATTCCCATATTCGGCAAGGATCCCTCAGACGCTTACTGTTGTAAGCTACAAACGTAACCTGCCTCGGGAAAACTGATCCCTTGCTAGACCAACCGGGCCCAGGCTTGCTGCAATAGAAGCAAATCACCTCTTGGAGAGGAACACCAGAACTGCTGCTGGCCGCGCCACGATTCTCAAGACCAGAACCAGAGGCGACAAACAAAAAACTGCCGACAGAAGCAAAAGCTGCCGACTCGGTAGGCTTACCAGAGCCACCGCTTGCCATCTCGATAGTCAAGAACTTCGAGGTGACGATAGCCATGTCCGAATCGCCGTCACGCACCAGTAGGGATGTCGTTACCATGCTGAAGCGGCTGGGCAAACCAACAAGCAAAGTGTGTGCCCGCTCAGAATCGCTGATAACGTGTCCTACTCCCAAACAAATCCGACTGTAATTGCTTGCAGGCGTCCTATGCCTTCTTCGCGTTAGCTATGTAAGCTACTAGCGTGAGCCGGGGCTCATAACCTGTTAAGAATATGAAGGAGGCAAGGAGACTGGTCGCGATATAAGGGTTACAGTCTGTGGGTTAGTGGTGAACGCAAGAAGACTTTAGGAGATTCCTATGAAGGAATACCGATCCATCCTAAGATGAGATACTAAGACATGCACCACTCTGGTCTTATGTACCGATACCAACGGAAGTATCGTACAGTCGCCCACCATCAACACTGGGCACCAGGGGACGTCCGAGATACACGGCCGAGAGACATCGCCTATCAATCAATCTTGGATATGCCCGCCTACCATCCTGCACTAACGTTGGGACAGGCCCGCCGGACCCAGTCGCGGTGCGCGACTGTCGCTGATAGGCGCCAATCAGTCAGGTGGATTCGCCCACCTATCATTCCCCACCTATCTAGCGGAGCCATCCTGACGGTGCCCAAACCCTACACCACTAACTACCGGTTGTGCATCGGCAGTCCCATAAGTGGCGGGTTAAGTTTCGCCGCTTGTTTCAGACAGACCCGGGGTCAAATCCCCTGTCCGACAGTATTCAAATTGGGAGGAGTACCGTATCGTCAACATAAAATTGGATGAAGACATGATATGAGTGAAACTCCTTCTCAAGCAAGCCCGCCATCTCCTGTGCGGTACGTTTTGTCCTCTTGCTGCAGTCATTGCTTGCAGCAGACTTTGCACGCTTCCGGACCTGCTGACCCTGTGCTCCCACGTCTCCCTGGCAGAGTGCATTCAGACCCGCAAGAAGGAGTGCAAGCTCAAACTGCTTCAGCCCCCCAGACAGCAGGGCAGACTTCATGTCCTCAGTGAAGTGGTTGATAGCCTGCAGCTTGGGGTTGTTAAAGTCTGGGGCATACATGCCATTCGCCACCAGAATTCCACATACTGCAAAGGAGTGATGAAAGGAGCCCTCACTCCCACAGTAGAGTTTATACCGCTCAGGCCACTGGAGGATGGCCGCAAGGAGCTGGCCCTCGTCGGCCTTCAAATCCAGGTTGTGCATCTCCGCCCAAGTTTTGTGTTGGTCTGAGAAAATTTTAAGATGCATATCAGGATCGTGATTCACCACCACTGCAGCAGTGTCCTCGACGACAGCCGCTTCTGCAGCATGGGTCGGCATCTGCAGCAGAGAATATTGTTAAACCCAATATGACAATAAACATTGTAAATATTTATGAACTGAGATCTTTCACAGAGGAAGGAAATGAGAACCCTAATGTAGGGTCCGCCGCCTAGGTATCTTTAACCACCCGATGGGACACCACATACCTTCACTTGTTGCTTGCTCAGCTTTGATGAAAAGACAGTAAGCCTAGTGGATCTGCGAGTCTCCAATGGAGCTGAGTGGGTACTCTGTCGTCTGATAGGACCTGAGATTTTAGGAAACTGCATATGGATGAATTATATGGATGAAAATAATATGGTTTCGTGAGCTGGCCATCACACAACATGACTTGCACCATGTGCCATACCCTAACATATGTGCGTGTACGACAGGCAACCCAGCTCCTGTTCAGGGGCTCGGCTGTCACCCTGGCACCTGTACAAACCCGTGGCTTGCAGCCTGAAAGTGCACTTACCTGCTGCAGCCCGCTGCCTGACGCCAGCGCCATCCCTGGCTGCAGCAGCTGCATTGCCCCCGGCTGCCCATCCTGTTCCCCTGCTTCGGCGCCTTCGGCAGCCATGGCGGTTTCCACCTCAGCTGTGGCGGCACCCATCTCCGTGTTGGGCTGGATGGGCAGGGCTAGTAATAGGAACCAAAGGGGATAACTGAGTTGTGTTCAGCCCACAAAGATTAGCTGGGGACAAGGCGCTAACTTCAGACTGTTGAGGAAACGGTCCTCTCCCAACTCGTGTGGTTGTCGACCAGGGGATTTGACCCCGGGTCTGCGCCTGACTAATGGGGAAGACTTAAAACCCTAAAACCCCAGAACCGTATGGGGCTACCGATGCATATCCGGTAGCTAAGTGATAGACATTAGGGCACCGTCTGGACGGCGCAGTGAGATCGCGGAATGTACGTGCAGTTAGATCGCGGAATGTACGAGTTTTCCGCTAGCGCCGGTATTTAGGGCGGTGACTGCGCCTATTTGTTTATCTCACAACGATCGGTATTCCTACCAGGAATCTCCTCAAGTCCTGCCGAACGCTAACAATACTCTTTACATTACTTGTAACAGTTTATCGTGCTAAATATCTTCGCCACCGGCAATCCTTCCGGAATAACAATTAGCGTTAGCTGTCACCGTCGACAATTCTTCAATAGGTTATGAGCCCCGGTTAGCGCCGACAGTTATCGCCAAATTGTTATTTCTATCCCTCATCGAAAATGGTTAAGGACAAGCTTGATGAGTCGCTGGATCTCAACAACTACTCTACCTGGCAAATTCGGTTCAGCGCGTTGTGCATGGAGCTTGGGCTTGAGCAATCCCTGCTCGCCGAGCCGTGCAACGAGGAGCAAATTCGACAGTCACGGAAGGTCATCAATCTGCTCATCAAGAACGTCAAGGATCATCATTTGCCGATGGTTACCGGTGCTGCCAACGCGAAGAAGGCCTGGGACGCCTTGGGATCTATGTTTGCTGCCAACAACAACGCCCGCAAGGTGTCTCTACGTCAAGAATTCAGCCGTTTTAAGATGGTCGACGGCGAACCTCTTCCGATGTACTTTGCGCGTGCAAGGCAGCTGCAAACAGATTTATTGGGAGTCGGCCACGTAGTTAACGACTCCGAGCTGGCGTACACCGTGCTAGTTGGTCTACCCAGTCGGTACAGCGTGGTGACGACTACATTACTTATGCGCGACGGCGATTTGGACATGGCGAGCGTCACAGCAAAGCTTCTCTCTATCGAGACGGCTAATGGTGGGTCGGGCAAGCCTACCGAGTCGGCAGCCTTCGCGTCTGTCGGCGGTTCGACGTTCGGCGCTTCTACTTCTGGTTATGGTAGCCGGGGGCCGGCTAACAACAACTCGGGACATAGTCGGAAGCAAGTCATCTGCTACTACTGTAATAAACATGGGCATGTGGTTAAGGACTGCAGGCAGCTTAAGGCGCTGAAGCAGTCGTCAAATTCTGGCTACAAGGGTGGCTACAGCAACAGTGGTAACGGAGGTAGTGGCAGCGGAGCTAGCGGCAGCAAGCCAGGATCCGGTGGATCAGCTAGGGGACCGGGAGTTCCACGGCAGGTAGCGTTCGTGGCATACAACAGCAATCGTCCGACGGAATGGTTTCTGGACTCAGCCGCCACTCACCACATAACGTATGACCGCTCAGAACTTTCCAACGTGCGGTTATTGGAGCCATGGGAGCGCTTCAACATCATGGGCATCAATGGACAGTCTCT